TGGCCCTTAAAAAAAAAAAAAAAAAAAAAGAGAGAAAGAGAGAAAACCCCCCAGACACACCAGTTCTTCCTGCTGGCGGGGGGCAATCCCCACTGCCCCCTGCCATATGGGGGCCTCTACACAAGCCCTCCCAGGCTGCTGTAGGAGCTGGTGAGTCCAGGGGTTTTTTTCATTTTTTTTTTCTTGGAGGGCTGGAGCTAGAGCGGGTGGGGCAGCCACAGGGGGGCTGGGGAAGTGGGGGGGCTCGTGGCAGAGCCCCTCATGCAGTGTGGGGCAGTGGGGATAATCCCCCCTGCCCAGCAGCACCTGGTAAATAGGGTTTTTTTTAAAAGCACCAGAAGCTAGGGTGGGTGGGAGTCAGGGGGGCTGGGGGAGCAGGCAGGGGATGGGGCCTGGCAGGGGTCCCCCCATGGTCTGCTCCCCACCCCTCCAGCCCCCTCTCCTCTGCCCCCTATCTACCAGCTCAGAGTCTGGCTCCAGCTCCCTACTGCAGTGGGTGGGGACTGCCTGAATCATCGAAGCTCTCTGAATCTTTTCCGAAGTTTCGGAGAGCTTTGGATCAATTTGGACCTTTTTATTGGTCTCCTGATTCAATTTGGATCTGGAGATTTGGCCACCAAATTGGACCGAATCTCCTCCGAATTAAATTACCACCCGAAGCTTCGCATAGCCCTATCATTTACAGTTATGAAAACAATGACAAGCTAATTAATTGTTATTTTTACCTTTCCATACTCTATTACTTACTATTGGAAGTTTATATGTAGTCCCAGGGAGTTAAAATGCTCTCTCAGGGGGAAAAGGCAGGACTCTGAAGAGTTTTACTTTCCTTAGGATATTGAAAGATTACATTACAAATATGAAACTACGAAACTATGAAATGAGGTACAGCCTCTGTCTTACTGGTTGCACATTTTAGGTGGTATACACTATTTTATTGATGACTAGCTAATGGAACATGGTGAAATTTCTTTTTCTTCTTTATGTTGGAAGTTTAATTTAAAAAGAATATTTAAAAGAATGGTAAGGTTGCCAAGTAAAATGCTAAGATTTTGCAGGAAACTAGTTGGTCTAATAAAATATATCACTTCTACCATGAGTTCTGATTCTTTTTGCCTCTAGATCAATACGGCGACAACCTGGATACCTAAGACAATCCATCACAATCTCATGTGTTCTACATTGCCTGCAAAGAGTCCCCATTATCACACGGTAGACTATTACATCCCTATTCGCTTATGTTTTCAAGCTAACTTATGATTCAGTAATGTGTGCCTGTTCTAACCTGCCTCTCAAAATCTTCTATTCAGATGAAAAGTTATCCCTAATCTGACATCACAGTACAGAGTCCCAATATCATCTAAACTGTGAACTGAATCTTAGCTTTCAATAAAAATCCACGCCAATTACTCAATTTTTACTACACAAATATCAACAAATATCCTTGACTTCAGAATTGTTCAGAAACAACCCATTTCCTCTCCTTCAGCACCTGAAATTCTTTTTTCATAAGCATAATGGAAATAAATCATTATAGTGAAAATGTGCCAGAAGTTAATAATTAAATAGATTGATTCTGAGCTGGTCCATCTGTTGGGGTGCAATATAAATAAACATTGTTTCCCCATCACATTACGTCACTTTCACCAGTGGGAGAACAAGATAAATGAACAATTCCAGCTGCTACAGCCATTATAAAGAATGAGTAGAAAAGGTAGCACGTATGGTATAACTTTACTCATTCTGCGTAGATGAAAGGATAAAAATACAGGTATTTGAAGGAGAGAAAGTAATTGTAATGCAAGGAGGCATAAACCAATAGTTACAGGAAGTGATTAAGAAAAATACAGGCTGATTATTAAAAAGGTTTCCTGACTGTAATCTGTGAAGAGATTCCCAAGAAAGGTTGCAGAAACTGGGGATTTTGATGGCATACTTAAAAATGTGCTTTAGAAAATAAATTTGGGATTTGCAGGGCTATTGACTTAAAGATCTAGATCTTTCCATCTCTACCATTTATGATTTTACCTACACAAAGCTTGAAGAATATTAATAATAGATCTATATTTAAAAAGTGTAACGACCAAGATTCTAAAAACTAGTATAACCATCTTATGGATTTATTGCTCGACCCCACCTTTTTTTTGGGGGGGGGGGAAGGAGGGGGAGCACTGTGCTAGCTAACCCAAGAAAATGCTGCTGTATTTTCTCACATACCACATGCACATGTCCCCCCCATAAATTGGGATGCGTGTCTTAAGTGGGGAAGCTGATTTTTCTTTGCTGGAATAGAAGTAGGGAAGAAAAACAACAGGAAGACACCATGTTAAATGTCTGCAGCTTCTCCCTGGGACAGCAAGTTGCAGGGGCAGAGTCCTGTGTTAACTCTCTCACAATAGATGATAAGGCAGTAGCATTTAGCTGGAGAGCCACTGAACTGGCTGAGGATGAGGGAGCTGCTGCATGCAGTTTGTAGTATTTTGATGAAGCTTCAGTTTGGAAACAACACTATTATTTACAGGAACTTATATAAAGAACTATTTACAGTAAAGAAGTAACAGTCTTACTACTGTCCTTGCAAGGCGCAGTCTTGTTGCTCTCCCATCACCGCAGGAAGCTCCTTCTACCCCATCCAGACTCTCCCTCAGATGCAACACTTCCTGACACTGTTTCCAGGAGGACTTATTCTGTCACAGTCAGTCACTACTCTAGAAAAATTTTTTCTACATTCTGCCTTCCAAAAACATGGTGAACGTCTTATTTGGGAGTGTGCCATGCAAGAAAACACAGTATTGACTATTACACAAGGTAGTTCTTCTAGATAGTTCTTAACACCATGTACATTCATACCAACCAAAAATAAAGTATGCATTTGACTGTTTGAAAATGGTTTCAGATATTTCTAACCAAGTATAATGTGGAGAGGATCTCAGAGAAAGAATCCAAATGTAGACCGCAGTTTTCTCAATTCTGTAAATATAGGGAAGAATGTGAATTAAATGCAATATGCTTACCTTCTGTAATCATGTCCTCTATCTCTGTGTCTGAGGAATTGTCAGCATGTTTTGTATTCTGTAGCTCTGACTCAACACACACAACACTCATGACCTGACCCTCCATTAAAAGCCTTTTTTCTACAGGCTGTTCAACCAGCAAAGATGAACGACTTACCTATTACAATGAAAGCAGAACAGCATGAAACAACAGTTAGAATAAAATAGCACATATTTATCATGTATAGGCATACCTCGTTTTATTGCGCTACGCTTTATTGCGCTTCGCAGATATTGCGTTTTTTACAAATTGAGGCAAGACCCTCCACCAGCAAAAAGATTACAACTCGCTGAAGGCTCAGATGATGGTTAGCATTTTTTAGCAATAAAGTATTTTTTAATTAAGGTATGTACATTGTTTTTTTAGACATAATGCTATTGCACACTTAATAGACTACAGTATAGTGTAAACATAACTTTTATATGCACTGGGAAACCAAAAAATTTGTGTGACTCGCTTTATTGCGATATTCGCTTTATTGCGGTGGTCTGGAACCAAACCCGCAATATCTCTGAGGTATGCCTGTATTCTTGAGTACTGCTTTACTTTTGCAATCATTATTATATTTATATAATGTCATAGGTGAACACAATAAAAGTTTCATAGTTGGTAGGGTCGGAAGGGACCTGAGCATATCATCAAGTCTGACCCCCTGCCCTGGGCAAGAAAGAATGCTGGGGTCAGATGACCTCGGCCTCCTTTTGAAGACCCCCAGGGTAGGAGCAAGCACCACTTCCCTTGGAAGCTGGTTCCAGATCCTAGCCACCCTGACTGTGAAGTAGTGCCTCCTGATATCTAGCCTGAATCTACTCTCAGTCAACTTATGACCGTTATTCCTTTTTACTCCCAGTAGTGCTCGGGGGAACAGGGACTCTCCCAATGCCTGCTGGTCCCCCTTGGCCAGTTTACAGACAGCCACCAGATTCCCCCTCAGCCTTCTCTTGTGGAGGCTGAACAGGTTCAGGTCCCGCAGCCTCTCCTCATAGGGTCTGCCCTGTTGCCCCCTGATCATGCGGGTGGCCCTCCTTTGGACCCTCTCGGTGCTGGTCACATCCCTCCTGAAGC